TACCTTCTCAGCTTCGCATCGAAGCTAAAAAAATACAAAACCGAAAATTTTACTACAAAAATAGTTATTTAGGAATCAATTTTCATTAAGAAGACAACTCTTTTTCATATTTAAGAATATTACATAAACTTTAATTTAAGATACGTATAAAAGTGTCAGTATTTCCGGAACATTTTCAAAAATTAAGTTAAAAAGATTTAGCTTCTATATGCGTTTCGAGTAACAATTCGAGTTAATACCGGGTTCATTTAATATAGTAACAACGGTGTTGAATTCTGTTCAAAACCCGTTAATTACACGGTTCAAAATGAGATTTGAATACGGATTTTAACATGAGGTGAACTGAGTTCTACAAAAGTTCAATAAGAGTTTAAAGACAGTTCCACGGTTCAGATATAAAACGCTCGATAACAGTTCAATTGTCGTTCATTGGTTCAATAACAGCATGCTCTATGACAGTTCACTAAACGTTCATTCGTTCATTAACAGTTACGGGGTTTAAAAGTAAATTTAAAGGTTTTGTACATATTCAAAAATGTTATAATTTTTAAATAGTATATTGTATTACTATATACACAATGTATTATCTGTATAAAATATATTATATGTATATATATANGTCATTTGTACAAAAAATATATATTTTATACAGATGATACATATATAAGCTTATATAAAGTATTATAGTTAACCCTCGAACTTAAATATATTTTATTTTATATTAATAAATTAGTCATTATATTAGTAAATATATTTGTATAAATTACAAAAGGCTTCAAAAATTAAAGAAAAAGGTTCCCATTATTCGAAGCAATTGACTTGTTTTTCTTTACTTATTGATCGTGTAGTATATCCACTGTACAGATGGACAGCATCCCGGCAACATGTGCTGTGTATAAACAAGGGCGATTTCATAGAGTGAGTAGGGGGTACACCCCTTAAACTTTTTCCACAGAAATACATTTTTAACTATAAATTCTAAAAAAATTGTATATTAATAGCATAGATTTTTTCACCTATGACTTTCATTACAATTTTTTAATAATTCATATTTTTAACAAATCTTTAAACAATAATTCAAGTATTTACTCATAAAATTTCCAAAACAAGTTTTTAAATTACCACCCAAATACTATTAATAATTATGTATTTGAAATAATCTTCAAATACAAAAAAAAAAACACATCATAGTAAAATTAATATCTTCTCAGCTTCGCATCGAAGCTATAAAACACAATTTGTTATAATGTACACAATGAAAAGAAAAATTCACGGACGAAAATTTGCGTAACAGTTCGGCTGATAGCTAATTTTCGACCAAACGTCCGTTGTTCGACACGGCGGTCTGATGGAGAGATCGGCTAGCCTTTTGAGTAGGGGTCAACAAATTTTACTACCCATTGCCGGAAATTATTAAAAACAATTCGAATCAGAGTATATCATAAATCGACAATTTAAGTGGTGAGCAGTGCAAATGACGTTCTTTCCTATCCCATAGATAAGAAAGTAGCTGAGTGAATGTACACACAAATGCCGACCATGAACCGGTACGAAGTAGTACACAGCTGACTATCTCGCACGCGCACAAAGAAATGACAACTCGTTATCGTAATAATTTGAATGATAAACACCGTCGCAGCATACAAAAAGGACAAAAAAAAAAATAGGTACATTTTGTCACGTTACAAGATATTCGGTAGTTTTTTCTTACTATAATATACATCTTATAAAAAAATAAATCAGATAGTACATTTGTAAAAAATATAATTTAATATTGATTAGTTTATATGCTTAAAAAGTCTAATATGTAAATAGTTAAAATAACAATTATTTGTGTGTAAGTTTTATGACGTAAAAAAATACAATTTACAAAAATATCGAAATTAATTATTATTTTAAAAATGTAGTTAAAAAAAACTAAAAACACGCTTTTAAAGTACATCGAACTAAAAAGCTAAAAATAATTTTTAAAATAAGCTTAAAACAATAATGAACGAAAAGTACCAGTATTATTGTAATAAAACGTCGGGCGCTCAATATACGAAAAATATGGCACAAAGCACCCACTCTTTTATCACAATAATACTAGTATTTTTCGTTCATTATTGTTTTAAGCTTATTTTAAAAATTATTTTTAGTTTTTTAGTTCGATGTGCTCAAAAAGCGTGTTTTTTAGTTTTTTTAAACTATATTTATTTTTCACCTTTTAGTTACATGTTATGATAGTAGTTACTATCAATATCACGGTTCTAACGGGTAAAGGGGAATCAGAGTTCGATTCCGGAGAGGGAGTCTGAGAAACGGCTACCACATCCAAGGAAAGCAGCAGGCGCGCAACGTGGAGGTAGTGACGAAAAATGACGATACGGGAATCATTCCTCTTAATCGGAATAAATAAACTATATATATCTTAATGAGAATAAATCGTATTAATATATAAGTTTTAATAGTAATTAATATATATATATACATGTAAAGCGATTTAAGTATGTAAACGTATCATGCACGATGTATAACCATGTTTTGAGGGCGGGCATAGCGGGGGGAACGTTATATATGAGGTATATACGGCGGCAGCGGTGTCGGCTGTAGGGATATATAAATGAATATTAACATATACTTATATATAAATATTAATATATATATATATATATTAATATTAGCGGCGGTGGTAAGAATATATAATCTTCGCATAATATCGCGGCACTTTCGCTGGCGTCGAAGACGCGATGTCCGGCGTGATCCTCGGGCGTCAAAAGGTTAGCAGCGTTGTTGACGACGGTGCGCGAGTGCGGATCGGTTTGTTGACGTTGTCGCTCTGATGTATAACGCGCGGTGTTGTTCAGTCAAATACTTATAAAATAGGGCGACGGCTAATAAAGGTGGCACTAGTCGTGGGGCATCGTGTATAACGAAGCGACGAGGGGCCGTGTCAATCACAATAAAAATTTGTTTTATTTAATTGATGACACGCACGCGTATAGGGGTACGAAAACCAAAAATAAAAATATACAGGAAAATATTGTTGATGGTCAATGGTGAGCGGGGTGGGGTGAATGCGTTACGACAGTCTAGTCTCAAGGTCATACACGACGGGATACGCGACATAATAACACGTACCGCGTGGAATTACAAACTTACAACTAACGACAAACAAACAACATATATGTGAAACTAATATAAGCATGTTAAAAAGCGGTGTATATTAAGTTGGCAAAATTTATAGTGAACACAATATACACGTCAACAAATTAAAAATATTATAAATATCATTAACAATTGTGAATTTTTCATTTAATAAATGTCAAAGTATACCTCTATTCGTTTATTAATCATATTTGTGATAAAAAGTTTTAATTTTAATAAATAGATAATTAATCAACAAGATGATTTTGAACTTATTTATTAAATTTATTATTATTGTGGTCACAATTGTTTCAAGTAGAGCTCTTTTTAATTCTTATACACGAAGTTCTGACGAATCATTGGAAATAACGAAAACTCGGTCTTGGAAATACGTTCAAAATGAAATCGTAATTCTGCCAACACGTAAAAGAACAAGTTTGGCAGAATTAATAAACAGCAACAATAAACATGGTTATAATATATATGGTGATGACGGATATGAGTACAATCATAAATACATTAAAGACAATTTTTTTCGTACTGCCTTAGTTACAAGAGTATTCAAATATATTGGCTTAGTTTCTGAGTATGCATATAGATTGAAGAATTTAAGAAGTTCAGATGTCACAGATTATGTAGATACACTACGTGCAACAATAAGTATAGCAGACGCATGTATTAAAAATTTTCGTACGGAATATTTTTGGGAGAATGAGACAGACTTTGAAAAAAAGATCAATGTACTGACAAACGAAATAAACCGAGGTGATATTATTGAACACAGTAGAAATTATATTTATGATGTTTTAAAGAAAGTACTTCAGTATCAGCATAAAAATTACTTTTTATGTTTATGCCCAAAAAATATTGATATTGACATAAAAATAGATTTATACAAAACTTTGATGAATCAAAGCTTTTGTACATATGATGTGTTTGATTTCGGTATTAATACAAATGATCTACACTATAATTTACACAATTACATAGATAATATTAGACAATGTATGCAGAATGAATGTAATAATTGAATTCAATGTAAAAAAAAAATCATTTTAGTAAATTCACATTCCATGGAATTATTTAATTTTTTTATGTTATATGTGTAATATGTTATATATTTCAATCAAAAATATATCTTGAGTTAATTAAAATAAAAATTTTAAAATCCTTAATGGTTTTTGCTATCTTGTTTGTTCCACAAAGTGATTCTGGACTGTTTTTTAAAAGCAGCATTAGACAAAGCTATTTTAGAGTCCTTACAGAAATTGTTAAGTAAATAAATAAAATATTTGATCTAAAATGTAACTTTTTAAATGTGCAATAGATGGCTATCTACATATATTCATATATATATATATAATATATATATATTCTATATATATATATATATATATAATATATATATATATTCATTTTTAATTACCATTGTTGCTATCAAATTAATTGTGTGTACACAACATCGATGATTTTGGGTAACGTTTATGTTTTTGGGTTGTTTGGGTAACGTATACTGATAATCTTGTTCTTTATTATTTAGAATGTTCAACTTGACGACATAAATTTTTCTAGTTAATTTTATCTAATGAACATCTATTTCTAATTCATTGAATTGTTCACAAGCAACTAATCAGAAATTTCAGTATTTTAATCATCAAGTACATTACCAATGTTCTAAAAAATATAATAAGGGTTAAATTCAAACTTATTTATGAGAAGTTAATTTAAATTCATAATATAAATAACCATTAATATAAATCAAAAAATTGATACTTCAAGATGTATGTTACATAAATTAAAAATATGAGCAATACCAACATAAATAATTTTATAGTTATTAATTATATTAATATGAATAGATCTTACTTAAAACATTTTACAAAATTAGAATCATTTTATGTAGTATAATAAAATAATTTATCTGAAATTTCAGACTGTGTGTATACTTCATCGATAGTTTTAACTATGATATCATATGTATGTGACCCTTTTAGTCTTCTCGGTTTTAAAAGACAATTAGTTCTTAATAAATCCTCCTTCTAACACTATTATTCCAATGTATGATCTAACAAAATATATTATATTACTACCTAGAAAATCTGTTGATTAGATACCTATTCAAATAAAAATAAATCTATTATTTACTTTTTAAAAGTCGACCAACCATTTAAAACGATATCGCCCCCATTGAGAACCACTGATCTAGAGTATCTGAAATCAAAATTATAAATATTCATAACAAAAAATAATGATTTTTAGAAAAACATATGATATAAGTTTTTTGATATAAGCTAATATTATTGACAAATAACATATTAATTTTAAATATTATAATGTTAGAGTTTTGGAATTCTTTCAAATAGAGATCCTAAACATTAAATATGTGAGTACACTAATACATAAACCCATGTATTATGCAAGTAATTTCGTTTATGCTCCAACTTGATAAATGTGACTAAAATAAAAAATTACTTTGCATATTCTTACTTTGGTTAGTAAACTTTTTTTTTTCTCAAAAATTCCTCCAAAACTGCCTGATTTATCTGGATTTTTTTTTAAAGTTGTTTTGAAGCATTAACACTACTGTTTTCCAGTGAACCATCATTACATCTTTTTAAAGTTCTTTTCTCCACTCCAATATGATCAATTATTTTTAATATATTTGGATGTTGATTCTGAATATAGTCAAATAATAAACTTTAAAAGTTTTAATAAATATGTTCAAAAGTTATGTGTGTAGCCGGTAAAGTTACACATAGCTCGAGTTGGCATTACCCCTCTCAATGTAATGACAACAATCGTGTCCGGCACCTACAGGCACCTTGCGAGCACTACGTCGGTGTACGCGATTGAAGTCGTACCGCATCTCTTGAGTCTGATGACTCGTGGCCAGTGAGCTGGCGTGTTTTTAATTTGTTTCATTGTTTTTTGGTTGGTATTGGCCTGTTTAGGTGACAACCAACACTTTATATTACCAGTTACGTGCTATTACTCGAGTGCTCAACGGAAATAGAGCAGCGGAGGTTGCACATTCCTAACGCAAAAGGAAGAATTACTTTGGGAAGCGTTTTGGCAGTCGATTCAACGTTAATTGCACTATGGATAGCTGGGTGATGTTTCGTTTTGTTTGTTTTTTTTCTACTATTATTATTCTAATGTTAATATATTGATATATTGAATATTTATTAGTTTATAAATATATATATGTATAATAAAGTTACTGTTTGGAATTGATATTATACGATTGTCAAGTAAAACCCCCCGATCCGTCATTTATGTTAAGATAATTAACTTAACGTTAAAAGTATAAAGTAGTGAAATAATTTACTCTGGGAATTGTAAAGTTTCATTTCAATATATTTTTACAAAATATTTAAATTCTTAATTTACTACACTCTAGTGTGACATACAATAGTGAACTACCGGATTTTATTTTTTTAAATTTACAAAATCCAATAATAATTATAATAATAATTTCAATAATAGAAACTGTAAGTTATAAAAAAAAATATTTAAAACAAAAAGTTCAAAAATATAATTAAACTAAACTATTAAACTTCAAAGAAATGTAGTACTATAGAAAATTTTATGTTAGACCTAACATAAACTAAGTAAAAATTCTAATATAAAAACTTTCAGATTATAATGAAATTAAATTTTTTTTCCAATTTTATTTATGTTATATTATATATAGTATAATTAATAACAATTATAATTTTGTAATTAGGGATCAAAAGAGTATTCTATTTTTGCTATTTTTTTTAACTTTCACTATTCTAATAGCGTAGAATGTAATGGTCATTGTAAATACTTTTTTGAAAATAACTTTGTAATAATGAGAAAAATTTTATTTAAATTCTAAATCAGGCTTATAACTATTCTGTGTTGTAAGATATTTTTTGTGCAAATTATCTAGTCATATAGATAAATGATTGAAATCAAAGATTTATTTCATAAATAATAAATATTATAACTATTTAAAGAACCTTAAAGAGACATTGTCCAACACAATATTCTTAATATTCTTTAATTTAATATATTACTTTTATAATATTAAATAATAATATTACTGAACAATATTTACAATAAAGAAATGCTTTATTGTATTTGAAGGTTTGATAAAACAATAATTAATTGGTCTTAAAAATAAATGTATCACAAAGTGAGGCATCAATAATACATGTGTTGTTTATTCAGATCATTTCTTTAGAAACTCAGGATTATGATCATGATTGTGCAATTTAATAAATTAAAACAATTAAAGATTTCAAATTATTGTTCTAATAAAAAAGAATAGGATGCAGCATATTCCACTAAAATTTATTTAATATAAGCTAATTCTAAAATTACTTACAAATCCAATATACTACTATATGTTAAAAAATAATTTAATTGCTTACTTTTGAGTTACACATGAAACAAATTATAATTTGTTTCATGTGTAACTCAAAAGTAACAAAGTTTAATTTTCAGTAACGAACTGTGTAATTTTTTATAAGTTCTAAGAAAGTTCAGCGTTCAATAAATAACCGAACAATTTTTAATAAGTGGCTGAGACCGTTCAATGTTCAAAATAATCGTACGGATTCACCAAAGTTCTTTCGTTATAATGAAAGAATCGTTATAACGGTTATAGCCGTTCAAATAGTTTTATTAATTTATACTGATATTAGACATACTATCCCTTGATTAGTAAATTAATAAAAAAAACATTAAAATAATAGTCATAAAATATTTTCATTGAGACTATTGCGCGAATTTAATGTATGAACTTTTGACGGAATAACCAGACGTGTCAGTAACCGTTAGCCAACAGTTTTAGTTCGGGCGATTTTTATTTATCATTTCATTTTACTGTGACATTTTTTCATATCATCAACGATTGTTTTACTCTTTTTACAAATTATTTTTTCGAGACATTAGCCATTTTCTTAGCGTCTAGATAACTTGTCAAGACTGCTCTTTTTCCCTGTTCACTCTCACATATATATTTAACTGAAAAATTCAATAAATTGTATGTACATCTAATTTAAATTTAGGAGTAAAATAATAAATAGTTATGTCAATTAATTTTAATAATAGCATATATTATTTTTTTTAAAGATAATCAAACATTTTAGTAACTACATTTATTGTAATTGTAATAGATACATGTGGTAAATTATATATGAAATTTTCCCATTTTGTATTATGATTAATTATAATTATAATACAAAATTATTTATTTATAAAGTACTATCGTTAGTTATGTTGTTATTAAGTTGTCTTAAAAATAAACGATCATAACGGACACCTCAAGATTTTTCATGAGCTTAAAATGTTGGAAATTTTTAATCATACATCATTATCTCTATCATCATATCCTTAGCCTTTATCCCAACAAATTGGGGTCGGCTCTAGCTTATATTATATCGTCTTATTTATTGATTTTTATTCATACATGTGATTCAAATAACTTCTGTATTTCAATATTTAAAATGGTGCATTTTATATATTTCTCAACATTGTATACATTGAAAACCATCTCTTGAGGCTTACATGTAACCTAAGTAATTTTAAGATATAAATAAAACTATTCACAGTAGTTTCCCTTAAACAAAAAACAAATCTATATACATAGATTGTCTAAAATACCCAATATCCAAAACACAATTATTTTATAACTTAAATAATAACAAAAATAAAATAATTCTTATGAAATATCATGTCAAGTTTACTTCACTATATCACATAGTTATAATAAATAAATGTTGATAGATATCATGTTTTTTAATTTACAATATTTAAAAAATATGTATTTTTAATAAGTATAATAAATATTTTACAAAGCATGTCATGTACTTGTTCAAACATTTGAATACTGTAACACTAAAAGGTTAATTTCTATATAGTTTATTAAATGAACTTTTTTGTTGGCACTTAGTAGTAAATTGATATAACTCAATAAACATTTTTGAATATTGAGTTCATATTAATCGGAAGTGCAATAACTAATAATAATTTATCATTAACACAAAAATATTTGAACTCTCTATATTTTTTCTTCTCCAGAAATCTGAATAAATATCTATTGACTTTTATGACTTCAACTCAATTAAAACTTTATACTCTTTTGTATTAAAATATTTTTATTTAAAATAATACAAAATTATAAATATAGTATATTTACTATTATAAAATAGTAAATCATAAAATTTTTTGTACCCAATACATATTTGTGAATTATTCTTTATAATTTATTATTATTTTTAATAAGTATATTATTTTAAATAAAATTATTCTTTGGGGTCATATTTTATTTATCTTGAAAAATCGTTCTATTGAAGTATTCTTATCTTCGCCTCTTATTTATATTATTTGGGATCCAATTACTAGAGCTTATATTAATACTGGTAAAATACCAACTACTTAAATAATGATTAAACTATAATAATTATAGTTTATATATACAATTATTGTAACATTGTATATTCATAAAAATAATAATAATATTATATATAGGAGCGATCCTAGTAGTAAATTTTAGGGATGTGTGAAGTGAATTTTGCCGACTAAGTACTTTCATGGGTACAAAATTCTACAATTTATTCTAAAAATTCCGACTTATGATTTTAATAAACTTTTGGGGGATATGACATCCTCACACTCTTCTATAAAATAGTCCCATCTATACCGCATGTTTTGCCTGTGCCCCGTCTATCTGTTGTATAGATATACTACATATTTAATAAATAAAGAAAAACAAAACAATTGTTACGAAAAATGGGAACCCTTTTCCTTATTATTTGAACCCTTGTATATTCTATACAAATACATATTAGTATATTTACTAGTTATTATCTATACTAATGTTTGTTTATTTTTTAGATGCTATGCTGGCCAAATCGTAATACCTGAACACGAAAGAATATTTAACAAAATAATAGATAATATTTTTAAGCATTCTGGCAATAATAAAGCATCACACCATTAAAATCCTATTGTTTTTTTGTTATTCAATTACATTTCATTTTTTTGTAAATAATTTTTTTAATTTATTTACTTAGATTGTTTCACAGTTTTTTTATTAATAAGTTATAACAAAATATAACATTTTAGGAATCAAAATAAAAACAGTAAAAAAAACATGGCAATCTTATGCTATCTTGTTGGATGCTCTTATATGTATTACTCCTTCTGTTGTACATAGAACAATGATTTTCATTTATTCAATTTCATGGAAATTAAATTAAAATTACTAATTGTTTTTATAACCACAATAATGTTTTTTGTTATATCAACTATTGCAATTTCACAATTTTCTGTATCAATATTAACTGTATCTTTGTCTCAATTCTATAACACCTTAGTAATTAACTTATTATGATAAAATATTTTTATTGGATTTTTTTGATAAATATTGTACAACAATAAATCAAACTGAGTTACAGAAAATAAATTGCTGACATTTCTAACATCATTATTTTTATTTAAAATTATCTATTGTTGTTAATTTATATTGATTAAAATCAAATTGTATAAACGGATTGTTCACTAATTATCATTTAATATAAAATAAAATAAACCTAAAATTCGAAGGTTAACTATTTTACACTATATATATACATATAATATATTTTATACAGATAATACATTGTGTATATAGTAATACAATATACTATTTAAAAATTATAACATTTTTGAATATGTACAAAACCTTTAAATTTACTTTTAAACCCCGTAACTGTTAATGAACGAATGAACGTTTAGTGAACTGTCATAGAGCATGCTGTTATTGAACCAATGAACGACAATTGAACT